TGATGGTAAGTGACTACCGCCGCCCATGAACAACCGCAACACCAGGGGAATTGCAGATGCGTTGCCGGTTTTAGAAAGGTGTAAGCTCTTTTCTTGAAGGTTCCTAAGTCGTATCGGTCCGGAAAATTCGCTAGTAGTAATTGATTCCACAAGGAAGTTGTGCGAGGGAGAAAACTTCTTCTGAATCGCACAGTGGTGGACCGCAAATCATCCAGATGGTATGGACGGTAACGCGAGTTTTGTCGCGATGTGCAATGGTGAAATTGAGAGGCTGGAATTAGTCCGAACAATTCCTCAGAGCACTCCCCGTGATAGATGTGATAAAATACGCAAAGAAATGCAACATCTCTACGCAGTGCCAGTGTATCGAGCCGATCAGAAAGAACTCGGTCGTCGACAATTCGAACCGCTCTGCGCTGGATGCGGTCAAGTGGAAGTAGCTGGTACTGGGGTGCCCCGGCCCAGAGATTAGAACAGTATTCCATGTGAGGCCGAACTTGCGCTTTGTAAAGTTGCAAGCGATGTGCCGGCATGAAATACTGTCTCGCTCTGCTGAGCACGCCAAGCTTTTTAGAGGCCAATTTGGCCTTCCCTTCCAAGTGACCACGAACCTGCACATCACTCGATATGTCGATATCGAGGATTCCGATACTGGCTGAGGCAACAAGGCAAGTACCTTGAAACTGAGGAGATACGACACAGGGGTTCTTTGTAGCGGTAAACGCGCAAACTTGTGTCTTCTGGGGATTGAACTGGACTAGATTTAGTTGGCCCCAATTCGAGACTTTGTTAAGCAAAGACTCGACTTCAGACACAAGTTTGACCCGGTACTCGGCGACGTTTTCCCGAGAAATATTGGCACGGCCAGTATAAAAAGCATCACCAGTGCTGTCGTCTGCATAGCAATGAATGCTACCAGTTAGCAACATATCATTGATATGCAGGAGAAACGGCGTTGGTGATAGCACGCAGCCTTGTGGAACACCAGCGTCGATAGGCTTGAAATCAGAGCATGCACCGTCTACTACGACCTTGATGCTCCGATCAGCAAGGAAACTGGGGATCCATTTGCACAATTTCTCGGGAAGCCCATAGGAAGGAAGCTTCGAAAGAAGCGCTTTGTGCCAGACCCGATCGAAGGCCTTCGCTATGTCCAAACTAACGGCCAATGCCTCCCCCTTGGACTCTACTGGCTCCGCCCATCTATGAGTTAAGTAGACTAGAAGATCACCAGCTGATCGACCCCGACGAAAACCGTACTGGCGGTCACCAATCAGCTGGTGAACCTCAAGGTACCTCATGAGCTGACAGTTTATAATGGATTCCATTATTTTGGAGAACAAGGAGGTGATGGCGATAGGCCTGTAGTTGGACGAGTGTGAGCGGTCGCCTTTTTTAGGTATCGGGTGGACCAAAACTGTCTTCCATGAATTCGGGACTACGCCTTGGGAGTAGGAGTACCGGAAAAGACGCGTTAAAACCGGTGCCAACTCCGGAGCACACGTCTTCAGCACAATGGGAGGGACTCCATCGGGCCCACTCGACTTGCTTACGTCCAGGGAGAAGAGTGCTTTGCGAACCGAGCGCTGTGTAAATCTCACATCTGGCATGGAGCACTCACATCGCGGGATGGTCGGCGGTGTGTTCCCCCATTATCTAGAGTCGAGTTGGACGCAAAAAGAGAGCTCAACAGATCGGCTTTCTCCTTTGCGGCATGGGCCAGTGAGTCGTCCTCTCTGTGCAGAGATGAAAGAGATGGCTGACAGAAGTTCCCTTGGACAGCCTTGGCGAGAGACCAGAATGCACGGGTTCCCGAAGGAAGGCGAACTAGCTTCTCGCCAATTCTGCCGATGTGCTCAGACCTTACCTTGGCAATGACGCTTTTGAAGGACCTGGAGGCGGAATTATACTTCTTTTTAAGTGCGCTGGTATTTTCATCCTGAGACGTTGATGCGTCAGCCCAGGCCCGGTAGCACTCCTGCTTATAGCGTGATGCTATTTTGCAGGAGCGACCAAACCATGGCTGGGATCTGCCTCCGATAGGCACCACAGAGGATGGAATAAAAAGTTCCATACCCTGAAGTAACACATCAGCAACAGAATCGGCAACAACGCTGGGATCTTCCGGCGAGAAGCAAACCCGCTCAAGGGTAGGATGCAAAAAAAGACCGCATCCCGTCCCAATCAGCTGACCTATAGTGCCAAACACGGCGGCAAGTTGCAGATCGCAACTGCGATTGGAGCGTGAGTGGCACCGTACTCCGGATCAGACAATGGTCCGAAGAGCCCAGAGGGGCATCGACGGAGACCTGATATCCGACCAGATGAGAGGTCAGCAGAAGGTCCAACAGGGAAGGTACATGGTCTTCCACATCTGGGATCCGCGTAGGCGAAGTAACCAGTTGTGTTAGACGATATGCCAAAGCAAAGTCATAGACAGATCTACCCGCATGACCTGTTGTAGCACGGAGTCTGCAGCCATTTGGACGTGGCTGATGAGTCGGTCTGTGTCGGCATTACCGCTATGGGACCTATAGACGCACCCGTAGACGCGGGGATGGTCGTCGCTGTCTACGCGCAGCCATAGGATGGACAGGTCCGTACCTTCAAGACTGCCGAGGCGTCGAAAACAGATGTCCTCTCTGACGTATATGCAAACTCCAGCCCGGGGCACAAAGGAGTGTTCCAATTTGTACCCCAGGTAGGAGAGAAATGAAGTATCAGCCGGAGAGGACACCTGAGTCTCGGTTAAAAAGAGCAAGGCCGGCTTCGCCGTCTCTATCTCTATTACCATCTAATGGACAGCGTTAAGATTGGAATGAAGTCCCCTGATGTTGCAAAAATTCACGGATAGCGTGACAGGGGTCGCCTTGGTTGTATTGCTCCACTTGCCCCGAGCAGCATTAGTCGCGAGCGGAATTTTGCCCCCCCCCCCCCCCCCCCCCCAGAATACGCTGGGCAGCCTGAGCACCCTCGCTCAGGAGTGAAGTAGTTTGGTCGTGGATGCTCAGCGAGGGATTCTCCAGGGGTGCTGGTACCCTCCTGGGGTAGTCTCTTATTTAATTCCACAACCATGTTATTGGGGGGGGGGGGGGAATTGGGCCTCCGGCCACCTGCACTCACCAAGCGCAACGCAGACGTTAACCTCTACTTCACGCTGGTATTCTGTGAGGTCGTGGTACCACCCCGGTTCGAGCTGTCCCAGTCGTGCGACAGCAAAAGCTACCGCTTGGCTCTACCACTGTTAAAAGTTTACACAAACACTAATAACACAAATAAAAACGTACGTATCGCAAGAAATGTAAACGTAACTACTAGATTAGAAAACGAAAACAAAACAAAGTGTCTTTATTACAGTACCATAATCTAATTACTATTCTAATTACACAAAAATTAATAAATAAAACAATACGACAGTTCTCTAAGTACAGGTTGCCCTAAGATGCTATTTTCTAAAATTTTTAATAAATCCGTAAATAATAACGTTTAATGGAAATATAATTTCTTCATGAAACGAAAATGGGACAACGTATATGTGTGTTAAATTAAAGTCACCATCGTTACTGCACGTTATACGAACTAAAATAGTCTGGATTAACTTACTTCAAAATAAGACAAAATCTTTTTTTGTAATTACTGACGAAGTTTTTAAATAGTGGTATCCTCGTTTCGAAATTAAGAAATCACTTTCAGTAAAGTGCTTCGAGTATAGACAGCTAGCTGTGTTATGAATCTTTCTTTTTTTTCCTTTTTTTTTTTATAAATACGTTACCCCGACTCTATAATTTTCTCCTGTATCGTGGAGGCAGTTTACAAACATAAATTGCACAAGGACAAACATCCAGACCCGGAACAATTATTTTTAGGCCATGCAATTACTTGTTCCGTGCGGGATTCGAACCCGCAGCCCCAAGCGCTGGAACTCTTTGCTAAGCCACTGCGCCACGGAGCCGTCATCTTTTATGATATAAACATTAGAATAAAAATATTAGTTATAGGTATGTATTGTATTGTCAAAACTAGGTTAAATTTTTATCTATCTCCCTTTATTTTTCAACTGGTTTTACGGCTCCGGGTTCTAGCCCTTCTGAGCCTGATATCTATCTCCCTTAAGTTCAAAAAATATAGAATAATGTATGTAATGTGTAAAATAATGTATTTGTGTTTAATTTCATTCATGTTAAAAAATATCACAGTTAATTTCTGTTTACAAATTATGAATGACAGTTTATGTATTAGGATTAATTATTAACAACCGACTGTTAAATTAAACATTTGAAGCATTTAGTTACTATGCTATCTTTAAAAAATGTTTCAAATGTTTAATTCACTGTTGGTTGTTACATAGTACATAAAGCGTAATGAATTACCTTGAACAACGGTGTATATGTAGAGGTGCAAGTGTTATACGCACGCACACATTCTCACAATATTGTGCCGAAACGACACCAGACAGCGCTAGTCCTCCTCGGTTGACAGATTTGGCACGAGTGGGCTCTCTTTTCCTGTATATGTCAGTTACTATACTCTTTGTGCCAGTGCCACAGAGTAGAGTACCTTTGTAAACCGAAGTTGTAGTGTTTCTATATAGTTTATGGTTGTTGCATTGTGCTCTTGTGGGCGGAGTTTAGGCTGCATTTAATTTTGATAAATATATGCTATCCATTGCCATTTTGATCGTACTCTGTACATGTTGTTTTACAATTTGCTCAAATTCCTATGCGTGTAATTAGTCGTCGTTTATTGGCAATGTGTAGCATTAAATTATGATATTTCTTGTGGTATTTTCATTATTCTTTGTAAACTTTATTTATTCATAATAAACAGGCACGAACATATGTACACACCGCCTGTTCATCAACACTTTCTCTTGCTGATGCCTTACCAATATTGAGGATCTTATTGTACGGTTCTGCGTGAAACTGAGTTCGATATCACCATATGGTGTAGTGTGTAATTAAATATTAAAGAGGTTTGTGTAGTGTTATGTGCATATTGTGATGGTTGAACGAGACGGGATGCGACGGGGTGGCGGTAGCAGTGGCAGCGGCGGTGGGTGCGGTTGGGGTGGCGGTATGCTAGGCCGCTGGTCTCTACGACGCCTACTATTAGACAGCCCTTTAGTGGGAAGGAGACTAGCTCATTCAGGTATGTGGAACATTTATTTAAAAAATTCAGTTGTAGAATTTGTTAAAAATATAACATAAGAGGCACTAAGCATTAAATATTGGCAACGGAATATTAGTTAATTAGTACAACTAAATATGTTGGTTGTTTCTCTATTTCTACAAAAGAGAACCGGAATTTATCAAGTACATATGGTAAGTTTTATCTTAATTACTGTTACAATAATATATATTCATCCATATTTCTTATAAATTGTTGATTATTTAAATGTTTTAATTTATAAATGTTATATAGATTTAAAAGATATATAGACATCAAAATTTTAGATAAATGATTATTCAAAGTGTATGCTTTTAAATTTATTACAGTTCGTTACAGACCTGAGTATAGTATAATAAAGATACCTAGATTAGGTAAGTTTTAAAGTTTGTTTATAAACATAATCGAAATTGCATGCAATCAAAAACGTCCCTACTAAGTTCTTATGACCATATCTAATTTTAAAACATTGGAACAATTAGGTGTCCAGTCAAATAGGGCATTGCCACTGCCTATTGATGATGTCAATCATCTGAATTTGACCTTTACATCTGTGTGACAATGGTTATTGATAATGACTAAATCTATCTTGATTACATATTTTATCTTTGTTCGAAACATACACATTATTAAAACTATCAAGAAGGAGTAAGTAGGTTTAATTATTTATAAGTAGCTTAGTTGTTCAAGATTGTATATTATTTGTTTCAAAACTTCCAGTAACAAAATTTTGTATTACCTTATCTAATGGGGAAGACAAGAAAATATAGAAACATCATTTAGGAAACCAAACTTATCTTCAGTGAATAATTAATAACTGAAGGTAACTTGGGTTAGTTGTAACATCATAACCTTAGCCTAAAACTCAAGCCCAAACGAGCCCAAGAACATGAGCTAGGATTAATAAAATAAAAAAAAGCAATTCAAATATTTGCATAAATATAAGAAATGAAGTCATTCTGTAATTGAATTAATAAATCTGTCATATTTTTTATCAAAGGCAGAGTCTAAAATATTATTTTTTAATTATTTGAAGCTATTTTGAAAAATAAGCTACTACAGGTTCCTGAAGTTAGACTTTTACTGAGAATTACGATGTGAAGTAACTCTTGGAATGCTGTTTTCTTAGTTTGAATTCATAAATTAATTTTATGTTTATAATAATTAAATGGAATTCTGTATTACTGTTTTAGTAACTTATATCAAGTCTCACATTAGCCTACAGGCACCATTATCATACCTGGCTATCTATGATGTCACAGGTCATGGTTCTTAATCCAGACAAAGCCATAACTAAGAGATAAGAAAGAGAAATGTGTTTTGATTGTCTCTGACTTTGCATCACTGCATATCTTCAATTAACAAGAAGTGCTATAGCTGTTACATTAGACATGAGCCAGTTGGAACTTTGGTACTATCGTCATCAATACAGCCTTTCATAAGTCCACTGCTGAACATAGGCCTCCCCCAAGGAATGCCACAAAGCACGGTCCTGAGCCACCTGCATCCATCGACTTCCTGTATGTTTTACGAGGTCGTCACTCCATCTCGTGGGGGGTCTCCCTACACTTCGCCTACCGGTACGAGGCTGCCACTCAAAAACCTTTCTTCCCCATCGGTTGTCGGTTCTTCGAGCTATATGGCCGGCCCACTGCCACTTCAGCTTACTATTCCGTTGGGCTATGTCAGTTACTCTGGTTCTACTGCGGATATACTCATTTCTATGTTTATCACGCAGAGAAACCCCGAGCATAGCCCTCTCCATAGCACGCTGAGTGACCTTGAGCTTCCTCATACGGCCAGCAGTGAAGGACCACGTCTCAGATCCGTAAGTCATCACTGGCAACACGCACTGGTTGTACAAATTCGTTTTAAGGTTTTGAGATATGTCTGACGAGAAGATGTGTCATAGTATCCCGAACGCTGCCCAACCGAGTTGAATCCTTCGATTGACCTCATCGAAGTTGGACTTACCTATTCGGACTATTTGTCCCAGGTAAACATACTCATCAACAACTTCGAGCTTAGTGCTCCCAACAACTACCGGCATAGGTGTGACATGGACATTAAACATGATCTTTGTTTTATCCATGTTCATCTTAAGACCTATTCGTTGGGAGACACTATTGAGGTCATTGAGCATGGTGCTTAGGTCCTCCAGCGATTCTGCCATAAGTACTATATCATCGGCAAATCGAAGGTGAGCGATGTACTCGCCATTGATGTTAATACCGTATCCTTTCCAGTCCAGAAGCTTGAAAACGTCTTCCAATGCAGCGGTGAAGAGTTTCATCATCACCCTTTCTTACACCTCTCTGCAATTGGATAGGTTTCGTACTCTGGTCCTGTACTCGGATAGCCATCGTAGCCCTGCTGTACAAGCACTTCAGAACTTCGATATACCGACAGTCAACTTGGCACCGCTGAAGGGACTGCAGCACCGCCCAAATTTCGACGGAATCAAAGGCTTTCTCATAGTCCACATACGCCAGACATAGTGGCAAATTGTACTCCTCGGACTTCTGTACAATTTGCCGAAGGGTATGTATGTGGTCTATGGTGCTAAAGCTCTTTGGGAAACCGGCTTGTTCGGGAGGCTGGAAGTCGTCAAGTCTGCGCGCGAGACGATTCGTAATGACTCTCGAAAACAGCACGTAGACGCTGCTCAGAAGGGAAATCGGTCTGTAGTTCTTCAAGAGAGCGTTGTCAGCTTTCATGAAGAACCAGACCACCGCACTTCTGCTCCACGCCTCCGGTGTAACGCCACCATGGAGGACGGAATTAAAGAGCTTCTGAAGGACTCATTTATTTTTGTAAGGGATAAATTTTTCTTACTCTGATTCAGATATTTTTGCATGCAAATGTTAAAGATCAGTAAATAACTTTAAATTGAATTTTAATGTACAGTATTTACTAAAACAATGCCCTCTGATGGTCAATAGTGTCACATACCACATAAATTGTACCTATACCAAGTGGCCAAACTCAGGCACACTTCCGTGTAAAGTGTTGCTGTCTAAGTGGGGTAATGTAGCTGGCGGTATTGAACTGACAATCAACTGACATGTGGTAGTCTAAGTGGCTGAAAGTTAATTGACAAAGAGCTACAAGCCACCACAAGCAATTCAAGCATTTGATTTTTTTATTCTGTCGAAGACCAAAGCGTAGCACATTCTTGAAGTTGAGGGAACTTGTGCAGGTGAAGTTCACATTTGACAAAGATTTACTGTAATTTAAAATTCAGTTTCAGACAAATCAATGATCATTCCGGTAATCAGATGAACAACCTGCATAATTGTGAGTTCTTTATTAAGTCCCAAGTTGGGGCCAACTATTATGCAAAAATATTTGCTTGTGAATGTCCATGTGTCTCACAGGACTTTATTGGTCCTGTTCAAGAAGGAATAAATGATAAAACAATATCTTGGAAATTATGATTAATCTGTGGTATTTTTGTCTCTGTTATATTTGTTTCTTTAATATTAAAAAAAAGCTGAATAGACCAGAAGTTATGACACCTAAAACCCAATAAAAAATTAATGAATCTTGGTAGGCTGCTTTCCCTTGCCACTCTAAATATTTTACATGAGCCATTAAGACATGCCATTATAGGTAAAACAATAGAATAGACAATGATATTTCAGTGAGAAATATTTTTTTTACCATTTTTGTATTAACTTGCTTTTGTGCTATGTTTGTTCAGGTGGAATTTAGTAATTTTTAAACTAACTTCCATATGACCTTAGAGATTTGAAATTTTAAACATAGTTTGCATAATTTTTTATAATTTCACTTGTTATTACAATAATTAGTTTGAAGAATGCTTGTTTTACAAAATTAAGTACAGTGCTGTAAGTACAGTGTTGGTTTTTAATATCAAAGAGAACAAGAAAAAGATAGGTGTTACCATAGATAATAAAGAAAAATATAAGAGTAAGGTTGTTATTTACTACTAGCTGTTCCTAGCGACTTGGGATGCGCGATTTCGTCGTGGAATTTATTACGGTTGTATTACTGTTTTTATAAAATAAAACTAGCCGAAGTTACTCCTTATATCATCAGCTATCTGCCAGTGAAAGCCCCGTCAAAATCGGTTCAGCCATTTCGAAGATTAATCGGAACAAACAGGCAGACCGACAGGCAGACAAAAATTTTAAAAATTGTTTTTTTTTTGTTATAAATATATATATATATATATATATATATATATATATATATATATATATATATTCATATATTACATAAAATAATATATAATTGTATGAAATATATGAATTTATTTAAAAGCTGTTATTTTGACATTACATACAGACACTCCAATTTTATTTATTTTTATAGACATACACATATAACATTGACCCTTAGTGAAATACAATAAAATATTTCTTGATAAAATACCTAGTCACCTAGGTCTTTATGAGCCCTTTCAAATGAGTTCAAACACGATCGTTCTATCTAGTGCCGTCACTGAGATCCTATACCCATCTTAAGATTGCACCATCAGAAAGGTAAGGTCATCACAGTGACCTAGGTCTTTATGAGCCCTTTCAAATGAGTTCAAACACGATCATTCTATCTAGTGCCGCCACTGAGATCCTATTTTCGTTATATTTCGTTGAGAATCCTTCGTATTCCAAACAAAATTGTTTCGCCTATTCTTTTACGGTGGAGTACGAAAAGAAAGAATGTCCGTACGCAGCATCCAAACGTTTGATTTCCGCCGATCTCTTCCCCACTTTGCTCAAAAATTTTATCACAGCATAATCGATTTTATGCATTTCGAATTTTTTTATCGTCAGATTGATTTTATTAGGTTATATCACTGTAAGAAAATGATATAATTTTATAACTTTTTTGTGGGTAGGTAACGAAAAGTCTAGTAAAGTAAGTAAAATGTTTTATCTTTCATTAATCTAATTTGGCACAGGCTTCCTCTCTTTTCGGAGAGGGTTTCAGGGCAAGGAAGTGTGTGCCGCGCTGCC